CCCAGCCAGCATGGCTGGCTGGGGAATTCTGGGAGGTGAAGTCCACAAATCTTAAAGTCACCAACCTTGAGAAACACTGCTCTAGAAAGTAATGAAGCTGAACAATTTTTTTGAACAGGGGAAATCTTAGCCTCTGCTGAAGTCAGTTTCTTCTGGGTAGAACAGAAAAAGAAAGTCGTCCCTCTGTCTCTCTCCCCCTCACCAAGTAATGCTGGTTTTAGCATGTTGGTTTGCAACAGCCGTTCATTTTGCCTGGCCCCCATTGGGAATTTGGGTCGTTTAAACTGGAGCCACCAACTGGGTCTTCTGGGGTCAAAACATAGCAGCAGTAGTGGAGAATATGTGTAGCTCGGGGTTGGGATGTTATTTATTGTTTATTAGATTTATGTCCTGCCTTTATTTGTACTCGGGCTAAGAAAAACAGGAGAAATAGGCTTCTGAAGCCATTTTATACCCTCCCGTTGTTTTTTTTCTCTTTTGACTCGCATAAATGATTTGCTGGCCTGTGCACCATAACGCAGTAAAGAAAAAATACGTATATCAGAAATATCGAGTGTTTCTAATATTTGTATGCCTCTAGTTTGTGAGTTTCTGGTAATTAAAGATACTGGCAGCTGAGAGGGATTTAGATTCTATTTTTATAGTTGGAAGTCTTTAAGCGTTTGCTAACTAACACCCTAACTGTTTGCTTTAAGCTTGTAAATATTATTGTATTTAATGTAAATATTATTGCAGTGCTTAAAGGAGGCCATCTTTAAGGTTCGTAGATTATGCTTAGGTTTCAGGACAATAGTCTGGAACATGCCTTGGGGAAAGAGCACGTCACCTGTCTAAAAACACACTGACTTTACGCTTCCCTCTTTGCAGGATACGTACATCCAGAGCCGGGCGGACACTATGCAAAACATTGAATCTACGATTGTAGAGCTGGGCTCCATATTTCAGCAACTGGCGCACATGGTTAAAGAACAGGAAGAGACTATCCAGAGGTTAGGGGCCCAAGGGGCAGTGGAAAAACACAGGCTGAGTTCTCACATCACACTAAGCCAACATTTGCTTAAGAGTGGTTTGCTAAGAAGCCACAACATTAGAGGGTTGAGTATGTTGTGTGAATCAGCCCCCAAGTCTGGTATTCCTGTCAGGCATGAATGGACAATAGTGGCCTTACCAGTGCAGTTGAACTCCAACTCCCATCAGCTCTAGCCAGCACCGCCAACGAACTCGGGGTCCAAACTTTCTCCCCATCCACAGAGTGTAGTGGAGGACCCTTTCTTGAAAGCATCTTCTGCCTGGACTACGGGGTGATTTTTGCCTCTTTCACATTCCAGTTTTTCTCTATGGAGGACGGAATATGCTAACCTGTAATCCCCTTAAAATCTCTCCCATCCATGTAGCTTATTTTGTGGTGGGGGAACATGAGGGCCTCTTCTGGTAAGGAAGTCCCTCTTCTCTCACGGTGGACTTCAACTTTGCTGTCCTTCTGCCAATTTCCCTAGAATCGACGCCAACGTGGAAGACACTCAGCTGAACGTTGATGGTGCACACATGGAAATCCTGAAATACTTTCAGTCGGTTTCCTCCAACCGGTGGCTCATGGTGAAAATCTTCCTCATCCTGATCATCTTCTTCATCATCTTTGTCGTCTTCTTGGCCTGACGGAGGAGGTGGCACGACCACCCGTCCCCTTCCTCGTCCTCCTTCCTGAGCCGTGATGGACACTGGACTCTTCCACTTTTTGTGACGCCAGCCGGCGGGAGGGGGAGGGTCGTCCTCACCTCGCACCCGCACCGAAGACACCTGCCCTTACTTTGCTGCGGTTCTTTGGCCCAAAGCAAGGCTGCCCCAGTGGGAGTGCAATTGCATTTGGACTGTGCTGTGAAGGGCCTTGCCCCGGACCCCTCCTCCCCAAACAGGACTCGGCCCAGTGGGTGTGTTTAGTGGGACCAGCATCTTCCCCCTTCCTCTATTCCATGTATATTTTCCCAAGCCCTGATGCGCTAACAAGAACCCTCCCTTCTATTTTTTTTAACAAATATATTAGGAGTAGACAAGAATGGAATTTAACTTCAACGCCTTCCTCCTTGATCCATGGCAAGGAGAGGTGGATTTTTAGGATCACGAGGAGGCCTGGGCCTTTGGCCACCACACCCCAGCGGGCTGGATTCTCCCTCATTTTAGCATATTTAAGTCTTTTTTTTTTTTTTGCTTCTTCCCTAGCTCCCTGCCTTTGCCAGCCCGTGAGTTGGCCAGGCCCTTTGTGCTAAGCGTGGGAATCTGCCCTCTCTTTCCCTCTGTATATATTTCCTCGGGAAGGCAGGTTTTGTACCACATTTGAGCCTTCCTGACCAAGTACATCTCTAAGCTAAACTGCAGCGGCAGGGTGGCAGATCAGATCTTGCTCACCCTTGGCACAGAAACAAGCCCCAGGTCTTCCAGCACCAGCTGCCAGACTCCGCTCCTTCTCTTCCTCCTCCCCCCCAAACAGATTTGCTCTCTGGGGCAAGAGCGAGGAGTCTGTGGACCTCGAACTAGTGATGGCCCGTAACTTTCCGCCTGGCTAATCACCAGAAGCTCTGGGCGTTTAGTCCAGCAGCATTGGACATGGTGAGATTTTCCTCCTCCCTGCACAAGTACCTCCCCTTGCTCTTGAGCACTTCAGATTCAGCAGTCCTCCTCTCAAGAAAGAAGTGGAGAAAGTGTTCCTGCTTCCCCAAACCTAATTTTTACACTACTGGAGAATAATAGAATTATTCAGATTTAATCCCCTTCCCCTCCCCCCTCCCTTTTTTTTTTAAAGAGCCTAAGCTGGAGCCATTTCAACTCCCTCTTGGCCTGGTTATGGTGGCTGAGCTGTGACATCCTTTCCCACTTTTGTTCTTACTGAGGGAGGCGAGGTTCTTCTCTTCTTCCCCTCCACCTGCACTGCAAGGGCCTTTAACGTCCCACTGTTGGTATCTCCTCCCCCTCTGCAAACCCTGTTCCTTCTGCGAGACCGTGTCAGTGGAGGGGGGGGGGATTTTTCCACTGCATCTGGGTGGTGGGTGGGATGAACTGTTCCTAATCCGAATTCTAGAGGAAAGTGGTCCCAGCTCTTTCTTGTGCTCCGAAAGCTATTAAACAAAAGCTTTACTTTAAACAAAAGAATCCCACCCCTTCTCTGTCTTGTATGCTAGCCTTAATTAGATGCCTAACTATTTCCATCCACTTTTGTTCAGGCGACACTTGTAGCTATCCAGAGGTGGTGTGTGAATCCAGCCCGTGGGATCGATGCGGCTTCATTCCGGCTTGCAAACCCAGAACATGGGCTTAATCAGCTCAGGTTGAGTTGAACAGGGTTCTGTGCGCCATACAAATGCCACCCCCCTTGGTCCTGGAGAGATGGTGCAATGATAGCCACAGCCAAAGTTACACCTCACTGTTTACACGTATAGTAAGTGTTCAGCATCAATGGGATGCACGTATGTGTGTAGAGGAATTTCGTGGCACTTAAAGGTTGGTGTTGTCATCTGAGATGTGGGCTCTTTCTTCCAGAGGGTGTAATCAAAAAGCTGCAGCTGGGGGAGTGGTAGGGGATGGGGGTATTACCAACCACCTCCTTTTAAGTTTCCTTCGAGAAGCGATTAGTCCGCCCGAGTGTTGAAAACTCCACTTGGTTTAGATTCGCCAATAAAAACTGCTCTGCCTAGAACACATCCTGTTAAGAAAAGGAAGGCAGCCGTGGAGCACATGTGGCTTACGAAGAACGACACGATTTGCTTGTTTGTGGTTGAGCGTGTTGTGCGAACCCAGCCCCAGTTGGGGTTGCTCAGTAACAGGTGTTGTGCAAACACGCTGCTGACACGACAGTGGCTTTTCCTTGGGTCGAACTAAGCAAATCTCTTGGCCCAGCTGAAAGGGATTTTACGGACGCGGGTGACGGAAGGAGAAACAGCCGCCAAAGCTTTTTCTGAAGTTGACAACGAACTGTGATTTGGAGGGGCACAAGGGGAAAAGTATGAAATATACGGTGGGGTACTTCCTAACTGAGGTGATTCCAATTTAAAATTCTTTCTTTCCCCTTGCCATTTTGTATGAAGAAAAGGGGATTAATCATAATTGTTGTTCAATTCTGGGGGTGTAATTTCACTTGCAGTGCAAACATTTTCGTCTGAGCCCCGCTTGTTTTTTGGAGGGTGCTCCCCTCAGTGGTGGATGTCTCCATTCAGAAGGAAGACAGTCCTTTAAAGCAGTGTTTCTCAAACTTGGCAACTTTAAGATGTGTGGACTTCAGTTCCCAGAATTCCCCAGCAAGCCATGCTGGCTGGGGAATTCTGGGAGTTGAAGTCCACAATCTTAAAGTTGCCAAGTTTGAGAAACACTGTTTTAAAGGAAGGCGCATGTTTGAAAAGGAACATGTCAGATGCAAAGCTGTGGATGTTTGGTCAGATGAGCACATCGACGAGATGGGATCCAGGAGTACCTTTCAGTGCCTCCCTGGCAAAAGTGATACCCACTGAACAGGGAGATCTGGGTTCAGGTTCTCCCCACCCCACCCCAAGATGTTCACGGGGTGCCTCTGAAATGTTTGAGTCCAGCCTCCCTTGCGACCAGATGGTTTTGGGGATAAAGGTTGCCGGGTCTGGCTGATTTGACAGCCAGCCAATTTATACAATGATAAGGATGCTGCCCTAGAGAAAAGACGGGCTCTATCTGTAAGGTGCTGTAATTCATTAATCTACAGGATATACCAGAAGTCAGGCCTCATAGACAAATTTATGAAGTAAACTACATTAAACTTTGAATTGGTTGCCATTTTCTTGTAAACACTTCCTTACGGACTCCACGCATGACCTTTGAACATTCCCAAGTACAGTAACATTTTCTCTGGGAAAAAAAAATTAATGAAACATTTTATGATTGGCCTATCGGGCCTGACTTTTGGTAAACCCTGTGTTTAAAGGCGTTCCCTTTCTTGGAGCATCTTAAAAGCACTTTGTAGTCAAACAGTCATCCGGCAGTTCATTATAACCCTAGAAAACTATGTTCTGCAAAATATCCATTGAAAGGAGTGGGAGGAGGAAAAAAAAAACTTCCAACTTTTATTAGCCCAGGCTTAGTAGCCCACTGGCAACACGTGCACGGCAAAGTATCTCTCTCTGGACAACCTGGAGGGCGCATTCTGCCCAATTCAGGGCCAACAGCAGCAAACCAGCTTTTGAAATTTTCCAAGAGTGAAAAAGTGGGGCGACCCTGAAACTGCGATTCCCAGCGTCGCCTCTAACCTAAGTCTATGATCGCAAAAAGGATGGAAAGGGAGAGGAGGGAACTGCGCCTGCGCGGTCGGCTTCACGCACGACGACGCCCCCGGAAGGCGGAGTGGCGCCTGCGCGGTGGCTGCCGGGCATGCGCAGTGGGGCGTTGGGTGCGGGGCGCGACGGGACGCCTCCTCCGGCCGATGGCGACGCGCTGAAGGGGGAGAAGAAAGCCGAGCGCGCGCGGCGTCGCGGCCAGGGACTCTCTTCCGAGGCGGCGTCGGGACCTCTCCGGCCTTCCGCTCGGGCGCGCGCGCCAGGGACTCGTTCTCGGAGGCCCCCGCCAGCGGGTCCCCCTCGATGGCCGACGGCGGGAAAGGCGGATACAGCGGTGAGGAGAAGGCTGAGAGGCCGGGGGGGGGGGTCCGTTCCCAGGGTGCCGTGGGGCCAGCCCCCCTCCCTCAGCCCGGCCTACCTCGGAGGGTCGTTGTGGCGGGGGACTCTGGGGAAGGAGCGGTGCATCAGGGAAGCGGGAGGGGCCGTTGCCTGGGAAACCGAGGGCGATCTAGTGGGGAGGGCGCAGGGCTGGGAGCGAGGAGGCCCGGGTTCGAGACCCGCTTCGCCTCTCGGCTGACCTCGGGCCCGTCCCTGTCTGTCGCTCTGGGTCTAACGGAGAGCGCAGAAGCTCCGTCTGTGTTGGGTTCGTTCTCTCTCTCTCTCCCCCAGCCTACCTTGCAGGGCTGTTGTGAGAAAAACTAGAAGCCCTGAGCGTGCCGCTTGGAGCTTCCGAAGGAAAGGCGGGGTGTATTAAGGAGGATGTGTGGGGCAAAGGAGGAAAATGGGAAGGGGGGGCCCTCAATCCATGAAGGATTGAGAATTGAGGCCCCCTTTGGGAGGGGCGATGGGGAGGAAACGGGGCCCGTGTGGGGGTGGAAGAGGCCCCATCAGGGAGGGAAGAGGGCAGCGGGGCTTCCAGGAGGGGCCTCTCCCTCCAAGGAGAGGCTTTGGGGAGGAAATGTTTGCCCAAAGTGGGCTCTGATGAGGGGGTAGCCAGGGTGATAGGCAGCCTTAACAATAAGAGTGTGGTGGTTTTGGAAATTCTGGTCTTTTAAGAAGAGAGGACTTACCTGAGGAAGTGGAAGACGCTGTTCCAGAGAGCAAAGAGATTTTAGGGATTGGGGCGGAAGAGAATGTCCTCTTTGGGGGTTTGGTGGCAGAAAAATGTCCAGCTCAGGAGTGGTGCTCTGGGGTGCATGTGGCAGAAAGTTGTAGGTCTGTTTTACTTGTAACCGCCTTCTCCAATGTAGCATTTCTAAACGTGTTAGCTGGCGGCTCCTGGAGTTCCCAAGCTTCATTGCTGGGGAATAACCTCAACACGCGAGAGGGTTCCAGGTTGGGTGGGGAAGCCTGACGTATCCATAATTTTGCTTTCGGGGGTAGTGATGATGGAAACGGCTCTTTGTACAAAAACATGGAGTTGTGATGGGGGGGGCTTTGGCCAATGTCTCTTTTCAGTGATAAAAGAAAGAAGCGTTGCAAAGATCAGCGTCAGCACAATCAGAAGGGAAGTAGCAGGGGCTAGAAGACAAATCTGGGTGAGAAGAAGTGAAAGTTGGTGGGATGGGGAAAATGGAGAAGGTATTGCAGCTGAGGTTGTACTCTCACTTCTCTGCCCAACAGCTCCTTGAGAAAGTATTATTGAATGTGGTAGAATGCTTTAAGATTTGCCCTTGTGAGTGTCAACCAAGCTCATTCCTTGTCTATTTGGATGCCTTAAGTGACATAATCGTTGCTTCTCTAAATCAGTTTTCTAAACCTGAGCAACTTGTTGGCTGGGGAATTCTGGGAGTTGAAGTCCACATAGGTTAAAGTTGTGAAGGTTGAGAAATACTGCTCTAAATACGTTGTCGGTGGCATTTTATGCAATTCTAGCCCACTGATGCTTCGATCTGTTCTTCCTGTTCAGAACATGATGATCGTGTGGGTGGTGGAGGCAGTAACAGGGGCATCCCTGGGCGGAGGAGAAAAGGCCGTGGCCCCTTCCGAGGAAAAATGTACAGCGAGATGAACCATCACCAGCGGAGTTGGAACAATGCTGGCCCCAGTCCTCGTAGCCGGCTTGATGACGACGACGGGGATGTTCTCATGAGCGACCCTCACGAAGTGCTCCGAACTCGCTAGTGAGAAACACATTCTGTCGGGTAGTCATGAGCACAGTCCACCTGTGAGAAAAATCTTTGTGGTTTAGCTTTGGTGATCCTTCTGATCCACGCAGAGCACAACCACGAGGGCAGCTGGAGATTCCAGAAATGTTGGCTGCAAGTCAAAATAAAGAGCTATAGAATAAGTGAGGTTGTAATGCAGAAAAAGTATTTACATGCAAAGATTATTATTATTTTTTTTAACAAACTCTTGCTACTAGGAAGAGACATTAGAGGTCATCCATAGTCTAACCCCCTGTTTGATTTAGGATCCGCTAGAACAGGGCTTCTTAATCTACTTGTGCCAGGGACCCCTTTAACTAAGACAGTAACCTTTCTCCACCCCCTTTCTTTAATATAACCACTTGGAACAGCAAGATGTTAGGGCCACGAGGGCAGGGATTTGTTCTTTAAAGAAGCTTCAGCTCCGGACTCCTCGAGTCTCATGGCCTTGCTGTTGAGCGTGACGGGAATTGTTGTACAATACCTTTACAACAAGTTGAAAGCTGTTGTAAGTGAAAAGGGTGGGGAGAGCTGAAACGCAACCATAAGCTAGCACCTAAAATAGAAGCATTTTCTAGCCAAGAATCTTATTTTTTAAAAAAGAAATTGTTGAAGGAAACTGGTGTTGCATTGGCCCCCTGTGAAACAGACACCTAATTAATTTAGATTAGTCAATCAATCTATACTCATTTAAGATAAAGGCAGTGATTTGGAAAAAGAGTGTATTTCTCAAGAAGTGCATGATTCATGGCTGGGTAAGAACAAAAAGATTCCTTGAAATTTTTTGCCACTTTTCATAACGCCTCCAACCAGTTCATAAAAAAGTAGTTTTGCAAACTTTTTAGGAAAGTTGTGAGTTAACTCCTGTTTAAAAGTAATAAATGAATGTGATCAAAGGGTGAAAAGGTGAATACCTGTGTCTGTTTTGGTGTAATGTGTTAGCTCTGGAAAAAAGTCAGCCTTTCCTGCCTAACCAGATTCAGTTCATTGCTCTTGGGGAGAAATTTTGGGATTTGCTTCTATGAAGATGGGGAATTGGGGTCATCTGATTCATTTGCTACCATAATAATTAAGCAAAGACCCATGAAATTAAAAGGCAGCAGCTAGAAAGCTAATAATTGGAACATGTTCTTGATTTAGAAATAAAAAAGTGCTGGTATTCCAAGTGGCCTAGTTTATTCAGGTGCAGCTGTGACTTTAACAGTTGAATTGCTTCTCTAGCATTTTTAAGGGAATGAAATAAAAATTAGGGCAGCTTAACCTTTGTCACAATCCAGTAAAGTCAAAGGATTTCCATATTGGCTGTGATATTCCCCTGATGCGAATTTCATTCTGGGCATTCCCAGAATCCTAATTCAATTGTCTCTCTCCAGTCCATGGTAAAAGGTATTTGTTTACCTCTTAGCACTCCTTATGGGCCACGTCCACACCGACCAGAGCGAGGGGGCCTGAACACCATAGGTGCCACAGTGAGGCGAAATCTGAATATTGGAGATCGTGCTGTTCATAAGCCCCCAATATCCAAGAAGACCTGGTTCAGGATTACGGTGAGTCGCCCAGTAGGAGAGGTCTGAAAGCAGGAGTTGGAGATTCAGATGGACTGTTGTCTGTTGGAGGGCATCTGTTTTGCCCGAGATGCTCCTCCGCCCTTTGCTGAACCATTTCAGACTTTTTCCGGGAGGGCTAGTTTCTCAGCTGGTGGTTTTCTTCTTTCCTTCCCTGGCCCTCTTCTGTTGGGTCTTAGTTCTCCCCACAGGCTTGCGGTTTTTCTTATTATCGATCGTTGTCAACTATTCTGGAGGATTTGGGATTAAAAATATGGCTCGAAAAATTGGGACAGGGGGCAGCACAAACAAAATGCCCTGGTGGTTTTTGCTTTGTTTTGTTTTGGTTTTGAGCAGGGGGCAGAGGAAGCTGCCAATCGTCATTAGAAAGGGAGGCAAAAAGCTTTGATGACAGCTGTATGAGGAGAACTTTTTCCATCTGCCAGGCTGCAGAGCTCTTGCTTAGGGCAGTTTTGGCATTTGCAGCTTGGACAGCTGTTGCCTTAAAGGGCTACTGGGCAGCAGTGGATGAGAAAGGGAGACATAATCTGCTCCTAAATTGTGCCTTAGAAATGCTGGCCTTGACTAGCTCATGTGCTTCCTTGTCAGATTCCTTATGGAAGAAAATATGACAAGAGCTGGCTGATTAATGCCGTACGGGAAGTTTGCAGTGTTCCCTTCAATCCTGTGGAGGTAAGAGAGGCCTGCGTGCCTCTTGAAGCTATTATGCAGGCTGTAGTTGCATGTCCGCTACTTCGTGTAGGATCTCTCACTAGATACTAGAGGATTTAAACTGCTAGCCTACAGGTAGTCCTCGTGTATTTATGTTTTATTTATATTTCAAATTTAGACACCGCTCATCTTATGAGGAAGTGACTCTGGGCGGTTTACAATAAAAACAACAAATAAATATTAGTTAAAATACAGTAAAAATAGTATAAAAATACAATAAAATGAAACACATACACAAATAACAATATATTCCAAGATGTTGGTGATCGAAAAGATATTAACTTTTAGTGACTGTTCGCAGTTACGACAGTGATGAAAAAGCAACTTTGCGACCAGTCCTCGTATTTATGACTGTTACAGGTCTGTAAAGCAAAAGAAAGCTGAAGTAAGATCATAAGTACAGTCACGGTTTCACTTAGCGACCACTTCGCTTAACGGCCACATTGCTGGTCCCAGTTGTGGTTGTTAAACAAGGACTACCTGTATTAGTGAGTAGAAATCATAATGGAAGGTTGATACTTTCTGATATATCTGGAATCAGGAGAAAACCTGGCAGTGATGACATTTAATAGGCTCTAACCTGGTTATTGGAACCTTCCCCTGGCTATAACCAAGGTTTTGTAAAGTTTTTCCGTCATCATGAATGTTAGCTTTATTTTAACTGCATAGACGTGGAAAAGAGCTGTTTTATTCCAAGATGATGTTCTCCTTCTCCTGCAGTTCCACTGTGTTAATAATCGGGTTGTGTTCTACGTAGAAGATGCTTCTGTGGCCAATGCCCTTAAGCAAGTGTCTCGGAAAATTACTGCTCCAGATGGCTACAAGGTTTGTTCGCCCTTGCCTGGAAGGTGCTGGGGGTCAGGCCCTGGCTCCAGGACAGCCCAGTTAAAGCCCCATATCCAAATCAGCCCCTCTGTTGTTGGTTAACCCATCCGTGGGCTCTTTCTGCTAACTCAGATTCCACTTTGTTTCAGGTGGCGATACTCATAAACACGTGCAATCCACCTACGACTATCCAGCGTGAACTGAAACCAGAGGAGATTGAACAGCTGAAGGTAAACTGCTAAAACACGGGCACAGTTTTCCTGCCCTCTTTGAGCTAGTTTGCCATACAGCCCTAGATACAGGATAGATCTACTTTTCTCTGGAGTCATCAATCTGAAGAGGCTAGAAGGTGCCCGTTCTCTCTGGCAGGATTACTCTTCCCTCTCTGAGCCAGGAACGCCTGTCCATTCTGTTTTACTTTAGTCATCTTTTTCCCTTTGCTTGGGAAGATGGAAGTAGCCGGTCCTCTCAACCTTTGGCTGGCCTGAAAGAACATCATTTCAGCAGCTGCAGAAAAAGCAGGCAAAATGCTTTTTTTGCCAAAGTCTGGCATCACAGCCTTGGAGTCAGTTCAGCTTTAGACTTAGGAGAAGGGGTGCCGGTCGAAGTCAGCATCCTCAGATGGGTCTGATCTGATAGGCGATCGTGTCATGTATTTTTGCTGGGTTGCTGGGAGAGGTGGCTGGTAGCTGGAACAGCAGTGAGGAAATAGACTAATTAGCAAAGGCAAAGCAGGTTTAGGCAAAGCAGGTTTCCTGTCATCATTTTGTCATATCCGCCCCATTTGGCCCTCAGAGCTCAGGTGAGATTTGCTCTCTTGTCTTCGGCCGTGGGAAAGGGAATGTAAGCTCCCAGCAGTGGCCTCCTCTTCTCAGATGACCCTCTCGCTCTGTTTTCAGCAATGTATGAGTAAAAGATACAATGGCTCCCAGCAGGCTTTGGATCTGAAAAATATTCATACAGACCCTGGTAAGTCACTCTCCCCTACTTTCCTTCTGCTGGCAGAGCAGAGTTTGGCCTTTGTTTAAAGCCAACACCGCCCTCCACAGACACACACACATGTGCGCACACATCCATGAGCGAGCAAACATAACTCTCCTGTCCCCACCCCCTCACCCCGCCACAAAGGCTGCATCCCTTGGATTGCATTCTCAGGGGAAAGGGGAAGTGACCGGGCTAGGGACCTTGCTCTTAGCAAGTGAAATCAATCCTATTTTGTTCCCCCAGATCTGATAGCCCAAAATATCGACATCGTGTTGAACCGCCGAACCTGCATGATCGCTGTGCTGCAGATCATCCAAGAAAACATCCCCGAGGTCAGCCCTTTCCCGTTGTCCATCCACTCCTCCGTTTGGGGCATGCAGAGAGTCGATTTTCCAAAGTTTCCACTGGGGGTTCAAATGGACATGGGGGGGGCCCTTGAGGAACTGTAGCTCTTATTCTCCTGAGTGTGGAGCATGCGTGTCTTCTTGATTTCTGCGTGATTAGCTCCTGCTTCTGAATTGTCACGGCTTTGGGGCTCCTGGGCTGCAGCTTGTCTGACCCAGAGCCCTCTTCTTCATCCATTTCCTACTTCTTTTTTTTTTTTAATCTTTCCAGCTCCTTTCCCTCGATTTGAGTGACAACAAGCTCTATCGGCTCGACGACATGACCGAGCTGCATCAGAAAGCTCCCCGTCTGAAGATCCTCAACTTGTCTTGCAATCAGGTAACCCCAGGTGCTTACCCAGCTCAGCCTGGGCCTGCATTTGGCAAACTCGTCCCTCCCTGACTCTGGGTTCTCTCCTCCCCTCTTGTCTTCCTGCAGCTGAAGACAGAATACGAGCTGGATAAGCTGAAAGGCTTAAAGCTGGACGAACTCTGGCTGGACAGCAACCCCATGTGCGACAACTTCCGGGATCGGTCTACGTACATCAGGTGAGTCACCTCCTTGGCTGCCTGAGGAGGCCTCCCCTGCACGTGGCCCCATCTCCACAGCAAAGCAACCAAACCGCGATGGGATGAAAATCCCCCAGTTCTACTCAGAAGGCCTTCTCTCTCTCACCTGGCAGGGCCTGGTTGAGGACTTTATCCCAGGAGGCTGCCTTTATCCGAGCCATTGTAAAATCTCCCGGAGGGCCCTTCTGCCTTCTCAGTGCCTGATTTGTGATGCTTTCTGACCATGGTTCTGTTGCAGCTAGATTGGAGCACTGCCTGGCGGGTTCTCTCCCCACCCTTCCCATGTGAACGTTATCAAGTGGTTAAAGTTTGCTTTTTGGAGGGATCGCCCACATACCCCCCTCCCTCCTCCTCCCCCTCTTCCCCCTGGCCCTCCATTGTCTCCTGCCTGTCTGCGTGTGTAAAACTACCACAGGGGGAAAGGGCCCATTTTACAGGGGGTTCTCCTCTTATAAAGCATTGCTGTTTCCACTCCAGACGTCTCCCTGCCTGTCTCCCTTTCCCCTTGATCTTTTCTACTTCTGAGCTCCGAGACTTCTGAGCGCACAGCCTTTCCCATCCTCTCCCAGTGCCCTCCGTGGCTCGCCTGCCCCCAGCCCGAGCCTGCTGTTCTGTGCCTTTCTTCTTTCGATGGAGTGCCGGGATTTAGCGTATTCCGCACAAGCGCCTGCTGTGTTTACTTTGGCATGAAACCTAACCTGCCAAATCACGAGGTTTCCCTGGTAAAGGTTTGGCCCCTGCAGACGGCTGGTTAGCCAATGACGGGTAAGATTCCTTGATGGAAGGAACAACCTAAGACAGGCACAGTCAAATGGTGGCCAAAAACGAGCCCTCCCAATGTGGAAGATGGCGCACGAGGCAGAGGGACCTCATTCACATGCTTGTTCTTGGCAAGCCGATCTCGGACGGCTGCCCTGCTGTTCCCAAGAGGGGAGACGGCTCCCACGTCATCAGCGGAGTGCGTGAGGTTTCTACCGACTCCGAGCTGAAATGGCGACGAAGCTTGTGGCAAGCAAATCACTCCTTTTCTCCCTGTGGGAGAAGGCTGCAGGACGCGTTGGCGTGGCAGGAAGGCATCTCACTGGGACCTCTGCAGGGAGGCAGGTGGATGCCCAGGGGGCTTGAGGATGGATGAGGCTGTGCACCAGAGTGGAGGGGCTTCTGCCCCCCCCTTTTCGGTCTCTGGCGTCCCCCTTGCTTCTCAACCCATCCCTTGTCTTCTGCAGTCATTAATTAGATTTGGGCCTTGATGCAGGAACACCCTCCCAAAGGCATTTTAAGTTGCCTCTGGCCTCTACAGGACCAGTGGGAGATCTCAGCCATTCCCCTCCTCCCCCTCCCCTCTCCCCCCCGGCCTCTGAGGAGCACTTCTATAAATGAGCCCCTCAGGTGAGTACACACTCAGGTAAGTGCAGAGGGAGACTTCCAGCAACGCAGCCTCCTTTTTAAAAAGAACATCTCTGTATTTCCTGCCTGTCTGCGTGTGTAAAACTACCACAGGGGGAAAGGGCCCATTTCACAGGGGGTTCTACTGAGGCTGGCGTTTTGGGGTTCAGAGCATGGCATGCTGTCTACTAGCATCAAGCCAACTGTCACCCATGTTCCATGCAGTTGTTATAATGGCCTGGACCAGCTTCTCTTAAAGCCAGAAGCGTCTGGCGGATTAAACAAAAGCTGATGTAATGTTGTCTCCTTAAGGGGTCCGCATCAGATTCCTGTACTGGTAGGGCTTTAATGATTGGAGAAGTTGCTTCGCTTCAGCGGCGCAGTTTCTTTTTACACCCATTGACTTGCTCTCTTAGTATACGCCCCAAGAGACTGAACCCATGTGTAAACCTACATACACCTTTCATCGTACAGTTCTTGTTTTAAAGCCCTTGTGTGTGTAAATTCCTTAGGCTTCCCAAGAACCCTAGAAAGTAGCAGTCTATTTAAGAGTAACACCACCATTTCTTAGCTCTGTGAGAGGTTTCTCCGCCCTCTTAACAGAAGGCCCAAACCAGTGGAATGAAACACTTCTCATTCCTTGCAAGAACACCCAACAATTACAAGGCGCCCTGTTTAAGAGGACTAGCTGCTTGGTAATTTAAACACCAGGATAGCAGTGGGTGAAGTTTAATTTCCATCCGTTGAAGAGCAGCTAAAACGCCTTTTTTTATCCCATTGCCCATCACCACCAGGCTGGGGGGGCGGGAATGCCAAAGCGTGGAAGCCGTTCATGCAAAGGATGAAGTGGGCTTGCTGGGCAGAGCAATGGTGGAAGATAGGGGCCACTGAAGCAGGCAGCCAGAGGGGGTGGGCTGTGCCCTCAGGACACGTTATAGTATACTCACTCCTGTTCTGTTTCTGACAGCACCATCCGAGAACGTTTCCCCAAGCTGCTGAGGCTGGTGAGTTGCCAAAGCGGAGCAGGGCAGGGGTCCTGGGTTGCACCCTGCACGTTTGACAACTCTCCCCTCTTTTGCATCCACAGGATGGTCACGAGCTCCCCCCACCGATCTCTTTTGATGTTGAAACTCCTACCACTTTGCCTCCCTGCAAGGTACAGCAATGCTTGGGGGGGGCAGGTGAAAAAGGGTTGGGGGGACCTGATACGGACAACACGAGGGTCTGTTGAGCGCAGCCGTCAATCTCGGCACCAGCTGCCAACTTGGAAACCCTTCTGCTTGGAAGGTGGGTAGAAGGAAAGAGGCTGACGACTCTTGTGCTCGACTCTCTTCACACAGGGCAGTTATTTTGCCTCCGAAGGCTTGAAAATGCTGATCGTGCAGTTTTTACAACAGTGAGTATCAGTTGGCTAGTAATTAACAGTGGTAACACCACCAAGACTGGTGCAGCTAACGAAAGGAACTCAGTGCAGAGAGTGCACAGACCTCTTGGAATGCTAGACCAGCAAAACATTCCTGGTCTTTACATAGATTTTGTCTTTAAAAAGGGCTATTTTAAGCCAAGTTACACTTTTCAGCATTACGTATTGCAGTTCTTTTGGGGGTGTTTAGACTGCTCAGCGCATGAAAGTTCTCCATCTTTTTTGTCTGGCACCTTTAATAACCAGTGCACCTGTTCAGAGTGGTCTATCTCAGCCTCAGCGTCCTTTCTGTTGCCTTTATACCTGAGTTCATACCCGTGTTGTCGCTGTGCTGGGCCTTTCTGTCCCACAGAAGGCACAGAGAATCACTTTCTTCCTCTCTCCCTTGAATCATGCTGGCTAGTGGCTTGTATTCCTTGGCAACCAGCCTTAAGGTTCTGTAGGGACTTGTTCTGTAAGCCTCCTCCGTTGATGCCCTTATGGTGGAGAGAAGAACAATATTCTCACAGAGGGGAGGTGGATTTGGGGATTTCAGTTCTGAGGTATCTTATAGCACAAGGCAAAGGAAAGAACCAGTGATTCATGCTATTTGGGGTGGGGTTTTCTATCCCCCTCCAGATATTATGCCATATATGACTCTGGAGACCGACAAGGCCTGCTGGACGCGTATCACGAGGGAGCCTGCTGTTCTCTGAGCATCCCGTTTTCTGTGAACCACCCTTACAGGTCTGTTTGGGGTTTTCTTCGCTTTGCTTGGGAGTTGAGCGTCTTTCAGCTTACATGTGACGGGGTGTAAGAAAAGATATTTAAAACTCAGGGGTTGCATTCACCCAACAGGTTGGACCAAGCCCAGGTCCAAGACATAGTATCTGCACATGCTAAGCTGGATTTATTTGAATCTGGATCCTTTTCTTTTGTGACTTGTACAAACCCACTCATCTGGCTAGTTTAAAACTCAGTGTTTGACACATCTGGAAAACAACTTCTGTTCGGTGATAAGGGAGCGTGCTGCGCAAACCCAGTCACAAATGGTTGGAAGGACAGGATACTCCCGTATCACAACCTTTTAACAAAGTTGCAGTAAAAAGTGCATTTTCTTGAAAGTTATTTAGGCTAAGAGGGTCGAGTGTCAGAACTACAGTGGTTTTAAACCTAGGCCTGCTGTGCTTAAATGCATTATTGAGTTTAAAAAGTGGGGGGTTCGGTCAGGTCATGGGGGAGTGATTCAAGAGAAGGCCTCTTCTGGTCAGTCTTCAGGCAGGCATTTAAAACCTCAAACGTATTTAAGAGGACAGCCTGGATGCCTGGCACTTAAATGAGACTCATAACAGGACAGGCCTCCTGTTACACAAGTGAAGCTCTGGGAGGGTTCTTCCCCCCCCCGCCCCCCATTTTCATTGTGCACTGAAGTCCTTTTTTGCCTGCAGGAACAGTTTAGCTGAATACTTCAAAAACAGCAGGAACGTGAAGCGGCTGAAGGACCCCAGTAAGCAAATGGTTATAAAAGGGGCTTGGGGTTACGTGGCTACCTTTGACGGCCAGAGTGAAAGAATGTTTTGTGCAAGGCTAAACCCTCTCTTTGAAAGATGTGAATGGTTTCTATACCTTCCTCATTTCCCTTTCTTCATTCCCTGCTTAAATTCCCTCTTTTCAGCCCAACTGTCATTCTGTCTGTAAAGCCCAGCACACACTTTAGGGTCACAGACTGAGACCTTCCGCATCACCTGATCCTGGATCCCTTACCTGGGGACACCAGGGCAGGACCTGAGTTCTCCTGCATAGAAGCTGTAGGCACAATGCCCCTGAGTCAGAGTCCCTTTTTCCTTCTAGTTCACAGATCCCAAATTCTTTAGGACCTTAACCTTTGAAGCCTTTTGATATCAAATCTTCTTTTGATCACATTCCCCCTGGCCTCGTTGGGCACCATTTGTTTCTGTTCATACATCCTTTGATGCAGGAAGCCATTCATATCTCATTTGTATCTTCTGCTTCTCTTCCAGGTTTCAGCTGGGCTTTTGTAGAAAGAGCTCATTAGCATCAAAAATAGCCTTCTCTCCCCTTCTCTCCCTCCAGCCATGCGCTTCCGACTCCTCAAGCATACCAAGTTGAACGTCGTAGCTTTCCTCAGCGAATTGCCCAAGACACAGCATGACGTGAATTCCTTCGTGGTGGACGTCTGTGCGCAAACGGTGAGTGAGGAGAAGGGGCTGGCCAGGTCAGGGTGTCAGCAAGGTCAGCAGCTCCTGAGATTGGCCAGATTAAAAACAGGGATAAGCTAGCAAAGTCTTGCTTGCCCCAAGGCACTCTCAAACTCTTGGAATTCTGCAGCCAGAAAATTCAGATTCTGCAGAAAAGTTGGGGTGGGGGATATTCTTCCCCCGGAGGTGTGGTGGGCCCCTACTCTCCTGACTTTCCGGAAAGGACTAAAGGCCTGGCTCTGCCTGCTTGTGTGGAGCAATAAGAGTTTTAATCAAACCTGGGGGGTGGCTGGTGCCCTGATGACGCTCCCTGAGCTGCTCGCCAATTACTGTCAATTCTTGGAATATTGTTGTTGTTCAGTCGTTGTGTCCCACTCTTCGTGACCCCATGAACCTCATCACACCAGGCCTTCCTGTCCTTCACTGCCTCCCTGAGTTTGCTCAGTTTCATGCTCATTGCTTCAGTGATGCTATCTAACCATCTCATCCTCTGCCATCCCCTTCTCCTTTTGCCTTCAATTTTTCCCAGCATCAGAGTCTTTTCCAAAGAGTCCTCTCTTCGCATTAAGTGACCAAAGTATCTGAGCTTGAGTTTCATTATCAATCCTTCCAATAAGCAGTCAGGGTTGATTTCCTTTAGGATAGACCGGTTTGACCTC